GGGCCTTTAAACCGTGGAATCAATTTATGTGGAGACACTTGCGCACTTTCGAAATTACGGATCATAACATAACATAACAGTTTCCAGTTTTATATTTATTAGCAGGCTTATGTTTTTTATCGTAGTGTTTCTTTTTATATTCTTGAGATTTTATAATTTCCTCACTAGCTTTATTCCCTATTTCCATTTTTCGTTCATTATCACAAAACTTTTCCTAAATATTCCTTAATTTTGTCGATGTCCTTACCTCTTTGATCTACTCCAAACAATAGTTTATTGGGCGCTTCGCCAATAGATTTATTGACAGTATTATTAATAGCATATTCTACATCCGATAAAATTTTTGACCAAGTATCTTTTTTCTTGTTATCAATTAATTTTGAAAGAACTCAAAAAGCGACTAACCCTCTCCACCTGGCCGTTGGCTTGCAGAGAGCCCGTAGCAACCTTAAAATGTGCTTTTATATCATGATCCTTAACAAATTCGTCGAATTCTTGAGATGTGAAGCAGCTACCTCGATCCAGTTTTCTAGCCTTAGTTTTTNAGAGAGATGGTATGCCACTCCGCAGCAGTGGAGCTATTCGCACACTAGCGCTCGCAAATTTAACAGTGCGTTCCAGTATCTGTAGTCTAGTTCAATGGGTAATATAAATGCATCGACGTTTACTAATAGACATGCCTTAGCGGTCAGAATTGTGGTACAATAAAAATTATTTCTAATGGATTTATTGCTTTTCAACAAATTTTAAAATACGCCAATAATTTGTTAATAATTTCTGCGATAAAGATACCACACGGCAATGTAAAATCACACACGGGTATCGCACACCTGCCTCATTTTCACCTGACTACCGCTATTGACTCATAAGCGCCTGTGTGTGAAAGATGGTATCTCACTCCGCAGCAGCGGAGCTATTCGCACACTTGCGCTCACAAATTTAACATAGCGTACGCGTTCCAGTATCTGTAGTCTAGTTCAATGGCCGTGACTATTACCATAGACGTATATTAATGGACGTGCCTTAGCCATATGTCGATGTAATAATTTCTTGTATCGAAAAGTGACGGAGATGGGGTATGGTTTCGGACTAGTACTATCTCTTTCATGACGCGCTTACGCACTATCGTAAGAGAGATGGATATTGTCCGAAACTTCGTTCTATCTCTTTCTTTCGTTGTACCACAATTTTGACTGCTAAGGCATGTCCACTAAACGTCAATGACTATTACCTATCGCATGTCTATGATTAGTGACTGTGTAATTCGCAAAGGTTATCTGCTCATAACATGTTAATTTACATAAAAAATTGTTTAAAACACCTTCCCTCTGACTGTTTTCTTGTATTTCGTCAATAAATAAAGTAGTGTAAGCTTTTTATAAACGAAAAAAGTTATTTTCGATAAAGGAAACGACTTTTAGTTAATAGTAGCTGTCAAAATGAGCTGTCAACTTTGACGTGCGATCTACAAATATTAATTTGCAAAAAAAGCGTTAAAAAGGCCCTCCCCCGGATTATTTCATGTAAGTTTTGGTCATTTTACATCATTTTCAGTAAAAAATGTTGCATTGCACTCAAATAAATAATTGAAGTGAAACTCCCTTATCGACGGTAGTGTATAAAATCGACATGTGTAACGTCATGCATCACGCACCACGTGTTTTACCCTGGTAATCAAAGGTATCAAAAATATAGTGGGCATAAGTGTCCGTTGGTCCGAAGCTGGAGACTTCTGTGGAAACAAGTTATTTACAAAAAAGCGATAGGATAGTTATGGTTAAATTAAAATAGATACCGGTAAAAACTGTATTACTGTAGGTCTACATGCCTACATCCTCTTGTAGTGATGAAGACGTAGAAGCAGTTTATGCAGATATAGAACGCGTGTTAAATTTAGTGAAAGCGCAGGGAAACCTAATAGTTGTAGGAGACTTCAATACAGTAATAGGTGTAATAGCAGGTTCCTTTGGATTAGGCAACCGAAATGATAGAGGAGACAGACTGAACTTTTCAATAAACATAACCTAACCGTGGGCAAATACTTTATTCAACTATCACGTTAGGAGGCGCTATAAGTGGAAGATGCCAGGTGATTTAAGGAGATATCAGTTAAATTACATACTTGTTAGGCAAAGATTTAAAAATCAAGTGAAAGAATGTAGGAGTTATTCAGGAGCAGATATAGATAAAAATGGAAGCGGTACTGACAAAACACAACTGTATGAAAAGAAGTAAAAGTAAAACAAAAGTATTGGTATGTAAGAGAAAAAAGTAGAGAAAGAGCGTATATAAAGGCAGGAGACAAAAAGTTAGAAGAAGTGGCTGATTTTAGGTACCCAGAAAGTCAGATAAATTAGGACGGAAGTAGTAGTGGGGGTATAAAGAGGATAGTGCAGGGTAGAGTCGTCTTCAATAAAAAGAAGTCACTTCTATGCTCGCGCACGGTAAATTTAGACATTTTAAAAAGGTTTTAAGGGTGTGTTTAGAGCGCGGCGCTGTACTGGTGTGAAACATGAAAAGAAACGGTTAGAAGCGTTCGAAATGTGGTGTTCCAGGCGAATAATGAGGATAACGTGGGAAGAGAAGATTACAATGAAGCGGTATTAGAAAGAATACAAGAACAAAGAACTCTATGGAAGTCAATAAAAAATAGGCGAGATAGGTTGGCAGAACACCTTCTCAAGCATATAGGTCCAGTTAGAGATATATTAGAGGCAGAAACGGGAGTTAGGAGAGGTAGAGGTAGACCTAGATTAGATTACTGTTCGCAAATAATTAAGGATGTAGGTTGTTGTAGTTTTATGGAAATGCGAAGATTAACTCAAGATAGGAATGAGTGTAGGTGCGGGTCCAACCAGTCTTAGGACTGACGACTTTATGATGATGACCTCTACTTTCTATACTAACCGGTCAGTAGCAACAGATTAAAATGGTCATTTTGACCAATTCTCAGCAGATCGCGCATACGCTGTACTGTATACATATGGATTTGTATGCGTCTGTGCTTTTAACAAAAATAAACCAATGTTCCGCATTGGTTCGCTTGAAATAAAGTTGTATTTTTCTGCTGTTTAGCAATCAGTAATGCAATAGTTTAATTTAAAAATACTACAATAATATATATTACAAACTAATAAAATTTCATTTTTTACGCGTGTTCACTAATACACGCTCATACCTTTTTTTTTAGACAATATATTTCTGTAGATAACAAAGTATGCATGAGTTTTGAGCATCACCCTTTCATTTTTTGTAGGAAGGAATATGTTTTTTCTGAATTTCTATAAAGATTTTCAAAAACATCCGGACACCACCTAAAATTAGTTGCCGATCACTGCCTTACACAGTCAGGCGACACTAAAAACCGCAAGACTCCGTACCTTTTGGGCAGGCGCGAAATTGACTCCTGTCAAGAATGTCTATGAGAATCGTCTTGCTGCCCTTTTTCATATTTTTAAATCGTTCTAACCTCTAACTACATTTTTAACCGTCAATTCAATTCATGGTTAATCGTGTATGCTGATTTATTTCATTCGTTTTTGGATTTCCTTCATCTGCAGAATTGTGCACATGCAACAGTGTTTAATCTATGCATTAAACAAAGACTCATAATCATTGTTTAAAAAGCGAATTTATTCTGCTTTCTTAAAACAATTACTTATTTTTGTGTTTAGCTTATAAGTGGTGCTGGTGTAAATAGTGTCGAACAATTTAATGTATTTGTTTATATTATTAGGCAGACGTTTTTACGTTATATCTGTTATATTATATTAATCATTTTCAAAATCAGAAAAATATAAATAACAAAGAAGTACATCAAGACCGTGAAACGCAATTGAAGATAGCAATGCAAACGTATCGCATTGCAATGAATCAACTGGATGATGAAGCCTTTCAAGTAGCACTCAAGGAATTTGGAAAGCATACAGAAAAAGTTCAAAAACAAAGTAGAAATTTAAGAAAACGTAAAATGGCTAAACAGGAGTATTTCCTATCTAAGAAAAAATAAAGTACGTATGTAATCTAATCCCAAACATGAGTTTTTCTAAACATTAAATGAGAAACCTTGATTAAAAGTTTTTTTATTTTTCTAGATGATAAAGTTAACGAAAGCAGAAAGGAGTACATTAGGATTCAAATGTACAAAACCATTTTGTATGTACTCTTCAGAAAGACTTAATCTAATCGAAACAGTTGTACTTTGTATTTTAATAAAAACCTTCGAAAAAGTTTAAAGTGAGAATTGTTTCTTCGTTTTTTGTGATGTTTTAGCTTTGTTTCATAGAAACCTGTCCATAATTACAATAAATTTAATAATTAATTAAACATGTTTGTTATGTATTTATTTTGCATTATAAATTTGTTGAAATAATTTTTTATTTTTTATTTTATTTTCCATTCATATTAATAAAGAATGCGTTTACATTGTATATGAGTATCATTTTTCTGCCTACGTTATCAATTATTAGTAGATTACTGCCCAGTTTATTTCTACTCCTCAGATCAGAACGCTTAAGATCGTTTGTTTGAATTCGAATAAAAAGGCGGCAAGAGCAAAATCATAGACATAACTCAAAATTATTTCGCGCCTGCGCAAGAGCTACGGAGTCTTGCCGTTTTTAGCGTCGCCTTACACAGTCGGGTATCGTATTCCTAATACTTCCTAATATCCATGGACAGAGCGTTCATGTTCCCCATAGACATATATTAATGGTCGTGCCTTAGCCGTATGTCCTTGCAATAGTTTCTTCGCTCGAAAAGTGAGGGAGATGGCGTGTGGTTTCGGACTAGTACTATCTCTTTCATGACACGCTTACGCATTATCGTGAGAGAGATGGACGTTGTCCGAAACTTCGTTCCATCTCTTTCTTTTGTTATACCACAGTTCTGACCGCTAAGGCATGTTCCATTAGTAAACGTCGTTGGTAGGGAATTTTGTGACTCGGTCCTATTCGGTAAAACTCGGTTTGACTGATTCTCTGCTCTTTTCAACGCTACATCTTTTCTATGTGCTTTCATTTTATGACTTTTGACTTGTTGCTTATTCTTGTTATAAACAGTTGTAAAAACGAAATCAATGTAATATGTAAATAGCTATAACTATTTAGTTGTGTATAATCTAAAATGCACCATAAATGCACTAAATTCTAGTTTTGAGATAATTCTGTGTGCAGTAGTGAGTGAAAATAAACTATTTATTATGCTGTTACACCACTAAATTTTAGAAATGGATAATTATTTGGACCCCGACTATGAATTTGCATGTGTTACTGCTGAAAGAAAAAAAATACGTCTAGAAAAGGGTTAGTTAATGCTTCATATGTTATTCTGTTTAATCTTTACAATTTATGTTATGATTTTGTAGATCAAAATGAAGCTTTGCAAAAGGCTCAGGGGCTGTTAAGTCAACAATTTGAAATTGAATTAAAAGAAAGACAGAGCCAGTTGGAATTAATTCAAGATAGAATTAGTAGAGCTCAAAAAACCTTACATTTACTACGCTATGCATTGATTACTTCTTATTACAATAGAAAAGATCTAGAAGTAACATTTTCAGATACTTATAATGAAGGTGAAAATTTATCTGTCGATTATCAAAAAAGAATTCATCCTGCCCTCAAAAAATTAATAGGAAAGGATGATTCCAATCTCGCATATATTTACAGTTCTGGTTTGAGAAGTAGACTAAAAACGAAACAACATTTATTAGACAATTCAAGTACTACTCAAGAAACAATTGATAATAATCACTGTGCTTCAGTACAAGAACAAAATGAATTGCAATACGAGTATCTTCCTAAAGAAAATGAAATTGGAAAGTCAGTTGATAATGTTCGTAATAGACGCAAGCAAAAATACAGAATTCTTATTGGAAACATTTCAAAATGGATGCCTTCTGATGGTTCCACTCATAAATGGATGGTTTATGTAAGGGGACCAAAAGAAAGCCCTAATATTTCCAGTATTGTTCAGAAAGTAATTTTTCATCTTCATCCTTCTTACAAACCTAATGATGTAGTAGAGCTAAAGTAAGCAGAATCTGTTGGTTAAAAGTTTTTGTATATGACTTTGTGTGATTATAATTTTTTAAAGTGGATCTATTATTTTGTAGATCTGCTCCTTTCCACTTGTCTAGAAGAGGATGGGGTGAATTTCCCCTACGAGTAAAAATTTATTTTCACTCTTCATTAAACAAACCTGTGGATGTGATACATAACTTGAAACTGGATCGGACATATTCTGGCCAGCAAACATTAGGTAAATAGTAATTTTAATAGTTTTGTATACCACACATACACACACTCAAAATGGCAAATTATGTTGAAAACTTTAATTTTGATTTTCTAACCCATTACAGTACTTTCTCTGTAACTAGGAACTTAACAAAGAAAACACTGTAAATGTGATATGAATATGTAGTAATTTTGTCTTTTGGTATTTATAATTAAATTTCACAGTAGCTGACTGATATGAAATCAGAAAGTATTTTTCATACTGTTGAGTAGGGTAAGCATCATTAACGAAATAATCGCCAGTAGTATCATTAAATATCGTGGGAGTTACTAAATTTAGTTATTCTGCATGTTCATCTTCACTGTAAAGTATAAATGACCGTCTTTATTTGTTTATTCACAGAAAGATTGTGAAATTTTCGGCAACCGATCTGTTAATATCTACACATTTTCCTTTATAAAATTTTAGTATAACCTTTCCGTATAACATTGTAAAACAAAGCAGTGGCTAATATGGAGTGCTTAATTTTTAAATTAAGTATTTCATAGGAGCAGTAGAGAAGTAGAGACTATCATTATAATGAGACTGCGTCGTAGTATTAGAAAGTAGGCAATATTGTGTGCATTTAGGACAAAAAATGCGGAAACTGGTAGGGCGTCGTCACCTCATCTGTCAGTCCGACCGCAATTTTACTCACGATTGGAGTGCTTAAGGCAGTGAAGTTATAAGTTGTGAGATAAATGTTATGCAACATAATTTTCATTAATAGTAGTTTTCTGAATAGCTTCTTTTTTTTTTTATTAATTGTAAAAACATTTTAATTAATAACATGTACCTATTTTAATGCTGGACAAACGGGATGTGCATGTTGTGCATGCAGTTGCTGTAAAGAATTTAATTCAGACATAAGCCATACTGATGCATAGAGAATTTCTTTTAATTAAAGTTTCCTAAAGCAAAAAACCCGCTGTTATTTCTAGTAAACATTTAGTAAACATTTACTAGAAATGACTTCAACATTCGAATGAACAAGAAATTAATTTTTTATTCAGCATTTAATTAAAATACGAGGGTGGATTGATAAGTTTCCGGCCTAACCAAGAGATGACGCCACTAGGCCTACCTTGAGGTGACATTCTATAGTACCATCCTTGGATAGCTTGTAGCTATAGTTTCAGCCCGATCTCCTTGCTAGTGTAGGTTTGACAGCACGCTGAACAAGACGCCTCTGTGGTTTTCGTAAAAATGGAAAAGCAGGAAAATCGTGCTGTCATCAAATACTTTTATTTGAAGGGGTTAACGCCGAAGGAAATTAAAAAAGAGATGGACTCAACACTGGGGACATCCTCCCCGTCATATTCAACCGTTAAGCAGTGGGTTTCCGAGTTTAAAAAGGGTCGTGTGAGCACCTCTGATGGGCCTCGCTCAGGACGCCCCGTTGAGGTCACAACTCCAGATATGATCGAAAAAATTCATCAAATAGTGCTGGGAGACCGCAGATTGAAAGTGCGTGAGATAGCTGAGACCTGTAAGATGTCATATGAACGTGTGCAACATATTTTGCACCAACATTTGCATATGGAAAAGCTCTGTGCAAGATGGGTGCCGCGTTTGCTAACAGTCGACCAAAAATTGATTCGAAAAAACATTTCTACCGCAAATTTGTCATTGTATAAGCGTAATCCAAGCGAATTTTTGCGTCGATTCGTAACCGTTGACGAAACGTGGGTCCACCACTACACTCCTGAAACCAAAGAACAGTCTAAACAGTGGATTGGACCAGGGGAACCAACTCCAAAGAAGGCAAAAACAATTTTTTCGGCGAACAAGGTTATGGCTACTGTTTTTTGGGATGCAAGAGGTATTATATACATTGATTACCTTGCAAAGGGTAATACTATCACTGGTCAATACTACGCAGACTTATTGCAACGTTTGAGCCACGAGGTGAAAATTAAACGACCTCATCTGGCGAAGAAAAAAATCTTGTTTCATCACGATAACGCACCAGCGCACACGTCAATCGTTGCGACGGCTAAAATCAACGATCTAAAGTTTGAATTGATGCCGCACCCTCCTTACTCTCCAGACCTAGCCCCGAGTGACTATTTTCTGTTCCCTAATCTCAAAAAATGGCTTGGCGGTAAGAGATTTGCGGACAATGAAGAAGTAATCGAAGCTGTAAATGGTTATTTTGAGGAGCTTGACGAATCAGTCTATAGAGATGGCATTAATAGACTGGAACACCGCTATGAGAAATGTATCAGCCTTGGAGGAGATTATGTTGAGAAATAAAAAAAAAAAATTTTTAAAAACCTTGTTTTTCTTGGTCAGGCCGGAAACTTATCAATCCACCCTCGTAGTAGAATTCTGATCAATTTATGAATCAAATAAAATATTTTGTCAGAACAGTAAGTAATTAATTTAATGTCGAGGGCATATTTCTATTTAAGCGTCACCGGACGGCAGTGGCTTAGCGTGAATTTCTGAGGAGAATTTTAAATTTTTCCGATATTTTCGCAGTTATGATTGTTGGAAATCACGTGGTCCGCCGGTTTCCCCCACCATCCTATACACATGGGCTCTCGTTGTTTATTGTTTCCGTTGTCATAGTTAGTTACTAATCAATCTTTGTACACAATTGTTCACTTTGTATTTTCGAGTTCAATATAAATCGGTTGTTTAAAATTTAGACGAGTGTTTCGTTTCCATTTGTCACCCAACCTCCAACAGGTTATGGGCCCAGGCAAATAAACACGCGGGTCTATATAAACCGAAGAAAATAACCTCAATGTGATTAAGAGAACGGCGTGTCGGCGCGGCAGTCATCTTGTTTTTTCGAGAAGCTTTGAGGTGAAGCAAGAAGGAACAAAGGACGCGTTCTTGGACATTGTGTACCCGATCGATAGTAAATAAAAGGAAGGACATGAGTGCCAACGGTACTTTGCATATTGAGGCCCTAGGCCGAGATAATTACAATATGCGGAAACTGAGGATCCGCGCCGTTTTAGTCAAGAATGGTATGTGGGGCTATGTCAACGGAACTTTGACCAAACCAGATCCGTCGAAAAATAAAAATGTTAACGACGTCGATGTACAAGAGTGGTTGACGAACGACGAGAAAGCTCTGTCCGACATCACTCTAACCCTCAGTGACAACCAGTTGATGACAGTAAAGCACTGTAAAACGTCTTGCGAGATGTGGCTCAAACTGGAAAGCACAAATCAGTCGAAGGGGCCGGCTCGCAAGGCCGCGTTGCTCAAAAGTCTGATGATGCAGAAGATGACAGAAGGTAGTGATGTACGTGATCATCTTGGCAACTTTTTCGGAAACGTCGACAAGCTATCGGAAATGGACATCAGACTGGACCCAGATCAACTCACCATCCAACTGCTGTACAGTTTGCCTCCAAGTTTCAAAAGTTTTCGAATCGCAATCGAGAATCGAGACGAACTGCCAACCGTTGAGAGCCTGTGCACCAAAATAATCGAGGAAAGCGACGTCAGAAACAACGCTTCATCGATTGTTGATCAAGGTGCCATGTTCGCCAATAGGAAGGGTCCCGATAAAAAGTATCGACCGAAGCCAGCTCGGAACTCGAACGAGAAGAGCGACAAGGACACCTTTTTTTCCCTACAAGTGTTCAAAGTGCGGAGTTAAGGGACACAAGGCGGCTAACTGCAAGGGCAAGGGCAAGAAAAACAAGTTAGAAGACGTATCGATGCTTGCGATATTCGAGGAGAGCCACACGTGCCATATCGCAACTAGCGGCGTCGAGGACGTCTGAAGCCTCGACAGCAGATGCACTTCTCACCTGTGTGGCGACACGACGAGATTCATCGAGCTGGATAAAAGCGAGACGGGACGGCTGAAATTGGCGAGCAGTGCGACGGCGGAGATAAGGGCGAAAGGAACGGCGAGAATTGCGACTAGCGTGGATGGCCAGCCGCACAAAGTTACCCTTAATGAGGCACTGCGCGTTCCCGAGACCCGGACCAATCTTTTGTCGGTGTCGAAGATCATTGATCACGATTTTTCGGTCGTTTTCGACAAAGAGAAAGCGGAGGTTTTTGATCGAGACAGTGTGACGCACATGATTGCAAATCGCAAGGAGAACCTGTACCTCGTGCAGGCTACCCCCATCGAAGGATGTCGCAACGCAGTATCTGCAGTGGACCGAGACGAGAAGTTGGCACAACTTTGGCATCGTCGGATGGGTCACGTAAACTTTCGCGACCTCATCGCAGCTGCGAGGAGTGGAGCCATCCGTGGATTGGAGCTGAAGGGAAATTTGGATGACCTTGTCTGTGACATTTGCACCAAGTGCAAAATGACGCGAAAGCCTTTCCCGAAAGAGTCGCACCGTGTGACTTCAAAGCTCGAGGTCATTCACACGGACGTCTGCGGCCCTACGCGCGTTGCATCGCACTCCGGCTCCCGATACGTAATTACGTTCACGGACGACTATTCAAGGTGGACGGAAGTGCGATTCATGAAGTCGAAGGACGAAGCGTTCCAGATGTTTCGCGAATAGAAGGCCTTCGTCGAGAAGCAGCACGGGTTGAGAATAAAGTGCGTCCGTTCTGACAATGGTCGTGAGTACGACAACAGGGCGTTTAACGACTTCCTGAAGTCTGAGGGCATCCGACGCGAACTCACGACGACGCACTCGCCCGAGCAGAATGGTGTATCCGAGAGAAAGAATCGAATTCTCGAGGAGGGAGCTCGATGTCTGATGTTGCAATCCGGATTACCTCAATCGTTCTGGGCGGAAGCGATTAACACAGCTAACTATCTTAGAAATCGATGCCCAACCAAGAAGCTAAACGGGAAAACACCTTTCGAGTTTTGGTACGGTAAGGAGCCGACCGCATATCACCTGCGGGAATTTGGAAGCAAGGTATTTTGTCTCGGGAAAAATCCCAAACAAGGGGAAATTCGATCGCCGTTCGAGAGAAGGAGTCCTGGTGGGCTATTCGGAGCAGTCAAAGGCGTACCGAATTTGGATTCCTGAAACAGCAGACAGTCGTACAAGATCAACCTGACATCGACGAATTGGAAACTCCTGAGGGAGAGGATACATCGATGAGATCTTGGAGAGATTCGGCATGTCACAATGCAGACCTGTCAGTACGCCCATAGAACCGGGAACGAAGCTGCGAAAGAAGGACGAGAAATCTGACGAGCAAGCTGAGAGCTTCCCCTACCGCCAACTGATAGGAGCTCTAATGTACCTGTCAGTGGGCACAAGGCCGGACATATCTCACGCGGTGAGTGCCTTATCGCAGTTCAATGACTGCCACGAGGAACAGCACTGGAATGCTGCAAAGCGAGTTTTGCGATATCTCGCAAAGACACGTGACCTGGGTCTCCTGTTCTCCAAGTCCGATGATCCAGGACTGGGGAAACTGCATCGTGGACCGGAAGTCGTACACAGGATACGCATTCATCATGAGCGGCGCAGCGGTGAGTTGGGAGTCCCGGAAGCAACCGACGGTAGCATTGTCATCGACAGAGGCCGAATACATGGCCCTGTCAGACGCAACGAAAGAAGCCTTGCACAGAAGCTCGTGTCGAATCCTATGTTTCACTCGAGGACGAAGCATATCGACATTCGACACCACTCCGTCCGAGATGCTAAAAAGGAGGGGATGATTTCAATCGAGTACACTCCGACAGACGATATGCCTGCCGATATACTGACGAATGGGTTGTCAAGGCCGAAGCACGAGAGCTGTGTCCAAGGTCTTGGTTTGGATTCCCGTAGACCAAGATAACTCAATGGTTTTCTCTTCGGATGTTGTTCGAGGGGAAGTGTTGGAAATCACGTGGTCCGCCGGTTTCCCCCACCATCCTATACACATGGGCTCTCGTTGTTTATTGTTTCCGTTGTCATAGTTACTAATCAATCTTTGTATACAATTAATTTTTCACTTTGTATTTTCGAGTTCAATATAAATCGGTTGTTTAAAATTTAGACGAGTGTTTCGTTTCCATTTGTCACCCAACCTCCAACAATGATAGACCTTTTATTTAAATTAGTCGGGATTGCGGTGCAATGATGTACACAAAAACTGATAATATTTTTGTAAGTTGGTTCTTAGAGGAGATAATTAGTGTCAATCAGTACAATAGCAAACAAGAGTGCGATCAGTGTACTGTAAAATTCACACAACCAGCTTCCCTAATATAAAATAATAAATATTTTGAAGAAATCCTCACATTTACATTTTTCCAGTCTTTTTGTTTAAACAGAAAAACGAACGTTAGGATTATTTCTTCAGATCAAATTGTTACTACTCCTAATACTTCATCTCCAAAGAATCTAGTAATGCCACCGAGTCTTTCGAATTGCAAAATTCGTTGAAAATTATGATTTTGGTTTTTCGGATTCATTACAAAAACGAGCTTATGACGGAGAACTTAATAAATTTCGGCAGCAAAAGAAATGTGCTCTTTTCCATATGATACATTTGTAAATTACAACAAAATAATTTATTTTTATCAACACTAAAATGTTGATAGTTTTGCGAACCGAGACGGTTATGTCTTGCAGCACGGTACAAATTATTGGGATATGCTAACGTTACTGTGCGATGGACCTGGTTCTATCTAAAACCGAAGAAAAAATTTTTGCTGTCTCCCACATTTGCTTCGCTAAGGGCCCATGGCTTCCTTTGTAACCCCCATGCTACGCTACTGCCGGACGGTGTGCCGCGTCCTAATATTAAACTAACACTTGCCGGAAATTTATGCATATTTCGAAAAAGTATTTTTTTAACTAATTAAGTTATTTTATTATGTAGGAAATGAGACAGTTGTGGATATTTTTCTTTATGAAAATCATAATCAAAATGAGCATGAAGGTTTAAATAATATTAATACAAGCAAAGAAGATTTTCAACATGAAGATCAATATGTACATTATTGTCAAAGTGATGAAGCGTATTTAGTTTATGATGAGGTAAAGAATAAGGAATTTCTGACAAATGAAGTTACTGAAAATGAATATATCATTAAAACCGAAGAATTTGATAAAAGTATAGAAAATAGAGATGAAGCTTACTGTGAACATAACTATTGCTATAAAGATGATTTAATTAAAGAATGCTCTACTGAAGAAACATTAGATCAAAGGGAATATGATACATCTAGCTTCATTATTGATCATGATTATTGTCTTCCACATTCACAGAAAGAAACATTTATAAAAGATAATTCTATGTTTAAAATCGAAAAAGTATGGAGTTGCAATGCTGGAATTGAAGAAACGGCTATGTTGCAGAGTGGAAACGTCAAATTTTTAAATAGTGCTGAAAGGAGTGATAGTAAAAATTATGAAGTGCAAACAAGCCATCAATATTTTAGCCAAGAGGGATGGGATGTGTTATGCTCAACAAATATTGAAGTAGATAATAAACTCATTTCAATGCATAAATCAGATAGCTTTAAATTCGAAATTTTGTTACCAGTTCATCATTTTAAAACAATTATTGAAATTTTGCCTTTCCTTTTTAAAAAGCTACCTTTAGTAACAGAATTGGCCTTTAATCCCAAATATAAAACCGTTCATCCATATGCAGCATCATCATTACACGAATATTTATCGTGGATAAGTGAAAGACGACTTAGTGCAGAGGTATGTATGTTTTGAAAAACTGTATTTTTGCTATATATTTATGTTTTCTTTTCAAACTGAGTTAGTGATATTTAGCACGGTTTCTTAAAATTTGTATCATAAATAGATTAGTTATTGTAAAAAATCATAAATGTACCAATTATATTTACTAGGATTTGGGTGGAATAATAAAACAATTCGGAAAATGATTAAAATGTAGTACTTATATAAACCGCTATATACTCACAAAACTTGAGAATGTTCTACTGGTACTCGTAAATGAATGGGGTGAAAGGGTTTATTAAGGTTTTCAAGAATAAAATCATAATCGGTAAATAGTAAATAAAGAATATTTCTAAGAATTGCGTACTATACAGCCATTTATCCCAAAGCTGACTGTCGGGTGTAGATAGTACTTTGCTGTTGGTATTTTATATTACAAAAGTACATTGATCAGAATGTAAGCATTTTATATCGTAATCAATTTTTACAAATTATTTAATTTAATACTAAAGTACGTGTGATACCTAGAATCATCATTCAGTCTCATTTTGTGATTTTACTCAAAACATCCAGCATTTTCAGTAATTCGGATAGTGACTATTAATTTATGTTTACATTCTTATGATGTTATAATCGTGAACCGTGCAAGGTCGAATGCAGAGACCTTCAATTTTATATATGGGATATGCTTAGAGCATATACAGGGTGTTTCACGCTGACCATCTATTAGGATATTTATGGCATTATTAGTATGCTCTTCTCAAATAAAATGATGGCATCTATGTAGCACTTCCGGTTATACCGGAAGTTGACACCGATTTCATTATTTTAAATATAATACCCTATATATTATGAAGGTTTTGAATTCTATTTATTCATTTATTTATTTATTTATTTTCATAATCAACGAACAAGAGTCCTTTACAAATTAACAGAATTAAAAGTAAGTAGAAACTAAGTATATAGGCTTAGAGTACAATAAGAATCATTCGTATATAAATGAAAAGGATTTGCATTGTAACTTGAATAGATTAATAGTGTTACAGTTTTGTATTATATTTGGGGAGGTATTGCAAGATTTACGAAGTTTGTTAGTAACACTGAAAAATTCATAATTGTATTTGGTAGGCTTCTCAGTTAGTTGCTTCGGATTCCTAATGTCAAATCTTAATTTATGGTATGGAAATAATCGACAATATCACAGTGATTAATACAGCATAAAGCAACTAAAAGTGTGCAATTTTTTTACGAAGATGGTTGTAAAATTCTTAACAGAATTTCAAAACAAATAATACAAGTTAACTGTTGTCACTCAAACATTCATGCTGACAGTGTAGTAATTAAATAATTTGATTGTCAGAGTCAGTTATTGAATATTGTTATTCAGAATGGAAAATGAAAATACCTATTTAAATTGAGAATTTTAAATCAATTGCAATACATAGACTACAGATACAATAGTAAAAAAAAACAACTAAACTATTAAAATTAAATAATAAGTGATATCAGCTGATAATAATTAAATGTATTAGTTTAACGGTTTGAGCTGTTACAAATGAGTTTATCGGAATTAGAATTCAAAACCGCTATAATATATAGGGTGTTCCATTTAAGATAACGAAATTGATGTCATCTGACGGTATAACCGTATGCGCTACATAGACGCCGTTATTTTAATTGAGGAGAGCATATTCAATAACGCCATTGCACAAGTTTTCAAATTTTAAATCAAAGTACTTTCGGAAATAGTGTATGTTCTAAGGGTACACGTATCTGTGATGTATGCAAACATTATTTCAATTAAATATATCGATTACTATGTACAGATTATGTGTCTATAGGGTGTTTCTAAAATAAGTAGCAAGCTTTAGAAGGTGTCAACTATATGCGATAGGGAATCGCACGGTGAGTATATCAGTGCGATTATGAGACACGCAACGATGGAAAACTGCTTATCGATTGGCCAAAGTAAGCATCAACAAAATCACACATTATGTGTTAGTTGCCTATCACGGTATAAGTAAATTGATAAAATTTGTTCACTATTGGTAGTATGAAGCACTATTTAAATTTTACCTCAGCATGTGAGTACACAAAAGAAATAAAAAAAAGTTTCTTATAAAGAGAAATTTTCATGCCACCCTTGAGATATTGCTAAGGCTTGTATTTACTGTAAGTGATAAGAATTCAGCAACTACTCTTTTAACATTGTCACACGAGGAGCCAACGTTGCTTGCTATTTCGTATGTACTACTTTTGGGATTGTCTTAAATTAATATTTAGGGTTTCATCTTCTTAGCAGTGATATAATGTATAAGGTGCACCTTGCGATTACCGTATAATTTGATCGTTGCATTAACATGGACACAGTGATCTACATCAATTGACTAAATACATGAAGGTTGTAACGTTAATAGAACAAAATAACTATTAACTGCAATTGGCTGTAACATAAGCATCTTGAATCACTCTTAATTTGATATAACAAATAATAAACAATACATGAGCAAAAAATACAAAAAAAATACAACACTGATGCTGCCATTTACCAACTGATTGAATTGTGCGTTGCATTGTAGTATTTCTCTCCAGGGCCAGAATTAGATTTGTCTGTACTTTCAACTATTTTTTTCTTGAAAACAGTGAACTTTCGAACCCGTAAACATTTACTTAATTTTCTTTTGTTTTTACCTCTATCACCTTCTACAAGGTTTCTATATATTTCAGAAATACCTTGAATACATATACGTGTACATCTACATGCCCATATGATCCTTTCTAATAATTTTGTATTAAATAGCACTAAATTTTATTCCTTATATTCAAACAAATTGCGCCACATAAATGGTAAGTGGTTATTGTTGAATCCAACTAATTGCTTATTCTTGCCCCCTCATTATATATACTTTGACTAATTCATAAGGTAATTTATTAAATTAATCGGATAATTTAGTTGTAGGTATATAATGTAATATGCATATCTATTTATGTTCTTTACACTTATAAAGTGTCACATTAGCAGTTTTTATATAACTTTTTATTTTGTAGTGGTTCAGAGCAAAGTTGGTAAAGGAATTTATAATGTTGACGAAATTAAGTAACTGTGAAGAATGGAATACAAAATCAATCATTATGTTTGGGAGAGCATACGGTTTTACTCCATTAGATAATTATGGAATCTTTAAAAAAACGAAATATAATGATTATTATCGATTGATGATTGAACATCCTCAAATAATTAAACCATTTCAATTAAGAAGCATTGATTGTGAACTTAATATTGACGAAGAAAAGGAAGAAAAGGAATTAGGTAAGTACTTATTTGCTTTCAGCTGTTATTTGACTAATGGGTGGCCATGCGGAAGTGTTATAATAAAATTATAGGTTTAGGGTGAAATCGATTAAAATTTTATGATAAATGATGGAAAAAAGTTTTTAATTTTTTTTGACGAAGAAAGCGGCCATCTTTATACAGCGGAGTCACTAAAGCTGAAACGGTCTGTAAATATACTAAAAATTAAAAATGTTTTCAATAAAAGTTGCGCAAACGTTTTATTAATATTACACTGGATTTAGGTCGCATCGTGCTGGAGTTATTGATTTTTTTTTATTGCACCGTTTTCAATATTTCTGAACAGAGGGATGCATTTTTCACGTTTTGTTTCTGAAACGATTAGCTATCATTTACACATACTAGATGAGCACTTTATCATTATGAAAAAGCTATCTGTCGGGCAGAAAGCAACTAGTTAAAATAGATGATGAATTAAGTAATGAGCAAGATGTCAAATGTGGAGTCCCTCAAGGCACTATATTAGGCCCAATTCTATTCATATTACATTTAAATAGTATTTTTAGTTTAAAACTCAATGCTAATATATATTCTTTTGCCGATGATACAGTTTTACTAATTGAAGAAAAAACCTGGGATGATGCAATACGAGTTGCAAATATAGAATTAAATAAAGTAATGAATTGGCTTTGCCATAACCATTTTTCTTTGAACACTAGAAAACCAGTTTATATCACGTTTGGTAGTTATAGTAATAGTTTACCATCAACATCCAGTATAACGATTCATGAATTCTTTTGTAATGTTGACGACCAATGTAACTGTGAACAAATAGAAAGGGTAAACTGTACCAAATATTTGGGAATAATGGTAGATTCTAATTTGAGATGGAATGAACATGTCTCTAACATTACAAAGAAAACAAGATACATTATTTACCTATTTTATAAACTAAGAAGTATACTTTCAAGTAAACAGTTGATGACTTTATACTATAGCATTTTCTAGTTAATCGTAACTTATTCACTAATTATCAGTCACTTCAAGTCAAATTTATAAAAATAAAATAAAAACCTGCTAGACAACAGTTCTTACAAACGCCAAAGATAAATAAAGAAATTGATAGAAGGAATAACAGATACGTCAGTGTGAAAACATTTAATTACACTTCCAGAAAACTTAAAAGAAAAGAAAATTGAGAGATCAAGAGCTATCAGAAAATGGATTATTACTTTAAATAGTAATGAAATAAATTTATTATTTCACCACATCTTTTGATTTGTGATAATGTATGTATGTATGTATGTATAATCTACGCAATAATAGTTTCTTTTTTATAAGCATGTGTATGGAGAGAAAGTGAGAAAATAGTTTTAATGATGAATTATATGTACAGGGTCGCGCACAGGCATTACTGCCTTTAGCGAAGATATTGCGAAAGATGAATGTTAGATTTTAAGTGTCTATACTCTCATGACAGAGATAAAAGTCTGCAATGTAAATTGCGAAGAAATCCGTCCAAAATATTTGTAAGCAATATCTGTAATTTTACTTACACCTGAATAAATAATAATAATATTTACAAATTCAAATAAGAACAACTACTTTTTTTTTACTGGAACACTATATTTTTTTACATCCTATAACGCAAAATTAAATTTTCTTCCTGTTGTTGGTTGCTATAATTAATATTTTTTGAGAAATTTGCGATTTTCTGTAAATTTTAAATGATATCATGTTCTCGTATTCGCGGTGTTAGTCTTTTTTCTTTGTCAACAAAGTGTTCGTGTAACTTCCGTAATACTGCTATACAACTAGAACTGCAATACTGCGAATACTCATTCTAGTCCAAGATCCAAGAGCTGCCAGACATCAGTTATTTTCTGAGAAACAAAATGGATAGGATAAGGTAGTATTATTGTGTATTTTGAAGATATACGTATTTGCTAGCTTGGGTCGTGGGCCAATTTGCAGATATCACCTGCTAAAGGTAAGTAAAAATATTACCTACTTTTCTTAAAGTCTGACTGCTGATTGTTACACAGACGCTTCAAAGTTCGCAAAAAAAATCGCAATTTTAACGAGTCAAATATCTCCCAGACTCAATTAAAATGTCGCTGTAGATATACAGGGTATCCCATTCATAATAATTAAAAAAAGAAACATGTCTTCCTGACACAAAATACAACAAAAACGTGTTATAGAATTTCTCAATCCAGTGACAATTGAGCTCGCAAATCGTCTTTGTAAATTTGAACGTACAATTTGTTTCATTACGGGCCTGGATCTAGGCGACTAACGTCGCTCAGCTGATCTAGTGTGGATGTAACAAGTACCTAGCGGGAAGATACCGAATGCACTTCCGCCTTGTAAAAAAAAGGTAAAAGTGAAAAAGAAAAGCGTACCTTTTATAAAAAATATTGAAATTGTCCGCCAATTGATTCAGTGCAACACTGACAGCGGCGTACCCAGTTGCTGCGAATTTGTCCCAGATACCGGGAATATTTCGAATTATACGTAGGCATTGGTAATGTAACTCACCACCAACCTACGGTTGAATAAGAACCCTACTAGAATGCACTATCACACTACTAATTGTCCTTATTGTAATAGTCTTTTATGAAATGACCACTAAATAAATAAACTAACACTAACAAACAAGTAAATTCCACAACAATCCAAAGCAAACTGAACAACCTGTTAGAAACTACGACATTATGTGTATTTATTCCAGTCACTTCCAGCAGTGTAATTATACGAGGTTATATCAATATTTAGCTTTTTACATTTAATGAAAACAAAATAACCAACTTGGTCCTTCTGGACACATCCTTGTATTACCCCACGTGGGGTTAATGAGCCCTGCCAGGCAAAACTAACGTTTAACACATGTGAATGGTCAAAGTAGGTCTGCATCTTGTCTCAACTTTTACAACCATAACACATACATTTGTTTTCGTACACTAGTACGTTATGTTACAAACCTTTACCAAACGCTGGGTGGTGAGGGTTGTTTGTGCACCGCTTCTAACTATTCCGTAGTCGTTAAAATTTCTTTTCTATTTAAAATAACATAATACTCGACGTCATGGGCTACATTAGGTCCACTTCAGTTTACGATCATGGGATTTTCGATTGTGATAGATACGTAGTTTTTCTAACATGTTCAGTCATCTAATGGACCTTAACGCGAGTGCATTTTCTTCGGCTGATCCGTAACTTAATACCAAACATAAACAATAACATTACCCCAAAAAGCAGCTGATTCCGACCTACTGAAGGTGAATTTTTCTACGATCAGCTGGCAATCGTAATTAATTTGCGATTGTGCAGGGCCGGCATCAAAACTGTTATAATTTTATTATTTTTTAATTTTGTTTCAAAAGTCAAAAGTGTTATAACATTTTATGTTCCAAATGTGGTATCTGTGGTATAAATGTTAATTATTATAACTGGGACATCCTATAGGTAAGCACCATAATTATATGGCTTTATGACATGTTTGGCGCCTCTAATTGGTGTACCTACTTACAGAAAGTCATGAAATAGTTCCCTAAGTATCGTATATAAAACTGAAAACTCAGTAAAATTACGATTTTTGGCGAACTTTGAAGCGTATGGCAGAAATTACTGTCCGTGGGAAGTGTGTTTATTAATTTGGTATCTGCAAATTGGCCTACGGCTCAAGTTAGCTGGTATCCATACGTTTAAAGTATATACTAATAGTACTCTATCACACCATTTTGTTACTCAGAAAATAAGTAATCATTTATGTATTTATTATTAAGTTTCTGGAACGGGGACTCTGCTTTGCAGCACTGTCGCATTAGCCTCGGTCTGCGGCCGAACTAGCACATTTCTTTGAAACGTGTACTTTGCTTTCGAGTAAATTCTCACCCTCTCAATTCGAATTTCGCTTGACTGAGAAATTCTGTGGATTCATGAATAAATGCTTTCAAATCTGTATCATTGGTAAGGCTTGCAACACAATTGTCAACATAACTTTTTAGTCGACATGGAAGAAACTGAATTTTCTTCAGAGTATTGTTTCAAGCCTTCAAATAGGTGATGGACTATTGTTGCACCTAGAAGGACAGGGCTACACTGTACGCCGAATATTAGTCGTTGGTGGCGAAATACCACTTCTTTTACTTCTAAATTCACTCATAAGAAGCGTAAAAGGTTTTTAATTTTTCCTGAACGCTCATTTGCAAGAATGCTTTCCCAATATCAGAAACTACCCCTATTCTATTCTCTAAATATTACTTAAATGGACAGGATTAATTTGATGCGAATAGGCCCTTTTTTCTAAACAATGATTCAACAAGGGATTATGTTTTCTCTTGTAGAAGGCGCCGAACACTGATCTGATCTTTGTTTTACTTTCCTCTTGATTACAGATCTGTATAGTAAATAATGAGAAGCACACTCTAATTCAGAACAGGGAACCTCTTCTATTATACCTTCCGCAACCCCTCTCTTTGAAGATTTCATTCAAAGACCATCGCTTTTTAGTTTTTGCACCACGAGTTTAATCTTTTCTTCGCCCAGTAGGTGGTTGCCCTAGTCGGACATCGTATCGACCTTCCAACAGTTCCAGGAAGAAATCTTTCTCCGTTTGTGTCGCTTTTTTTAATTGACGGTTCGGAAATCCTCAAGTCGAGTTTCCATAAATTTGTTAAAGACCTATCTTGTGAAAACCGAGACATAATAATTATGGAGCTCGTATTGCTCCGTTTTTTTTGTGGAATCTTGCCCATCAATGTCCACCCAAAGAGCGTTTCCATGGCAATCACCCCGTATATATTTTTTCCAAAACATCTGCTCCAATTAAAAGTTCGATAGGCACAGAATTGCCGACGTCGCTTATTTTGATAATTAAATTGGTCAGTTCGTCAATCCAAAAGGACCCACGGGAACGTTACATATTCTTTCTTGGTCTAGAACTTCTAAAGAATATTGGATATCCACCGCCTCCAGTTTGATGTTATAACATTTGTGTTCCAGTTCAGCTGTATTTTTCCGTCAAACAACGAACAATGAATGAATCAGTTTTTTACTTGATAATAAATAAATAAACATGAATTTTGCGAATTACTATCGATTAAAGTTCGAATTTCCCCAATTATATCTGTTGTTTATTTTAACACAAACAGTTTGTAAAACGATGTGAGCATTAGAGTTGCTCCTTATTGTTTGGTTTACGGATTCAGTACACGCAACGCTTGCCTTGTTTTCGTTAGAATCTTCTTTTGGTTTCGATAAATCAGAACACATCAAGGCTACTTGAGGCATTCCACACAAGACGCACTTTAAACGTTGCCGACATTTTCGCGATTGATGTTCGATTTTTAGACAACGAAAACATGCCCCATTTTTGACTAAGGAGTCTATTTTTTGGTCCAATGACAGTAATATTTTTCACTGTCGTGTTTTCCTTCACAAAATGCGCACTTATTTCGCAGCTATTTAAATCAGTCGCTTTTTGTTTGGTTTTAAGTGTCACATATTCACGTGAATTAGCATCCAAGTCAAACCCTTCCATTGCAAACACGATTATGTGCTCATTTTTTGGAAAAAAACATAACCGAACACTTATCACTAGAATACCCAACGTTTCTAGAGCGCGCATTTGTTTCGATTCGATCGTACCTATAACGCTGAGAGTTCCATTTTTTCTTTACTTGCTGCATTATTTACAACCAATATCAACAGCTCATGCACGTAAACTTCGATTTGGAGATCTCGCCCGAATCTCGATTTTAAATTGTTTATCATTTTTTGATTGTTTCCGCTTATTGGGGGGAAACTCGACCTACATGAAATTCCGGAATAGTTGCCCTAAATAAGAAATTCGATTTTATCAATACTATCAATTTCAGGGTCTACGAGTACTGGAAACACTCGCAAATATCATCATCGTATTCTTTCAGTTCGTCGCACCCTGTTCGTATTGTCTCTTCTGTCTCTGACCACTGGCTTGAAATTTTAGTGTGAAAAAACTTCTCGAATATTCATCTGAAGATTACATGTCTATCATTAGAATTTCCTTCTTAGCATTTCCTTGCAGTAGATTATTGAAAATCTCCTCATCTACGATTCGTAAGGCGTTATATTTTTGTTCTAATATTTCCCAGCGTACATTTACAGGGGAATAATCCTGTGTACGTGAGGTAAATAATTTTTCCAGCTCATCCGCTGCTTTTGTAAATGTTGCACAAAGTGCAGTACGCCGAAATATGTTTATTAAACTTTGTAGATACCTTGTTACTGGCAGAATACTTACTCACGGAGCAAACAGTGGTCCAAATTTTTATACGAATTAGTTCGGCAGCAAAATCGATAACTTTATTTCTTCTCTCTTTACGACTTTGAAAAACATATGTATGTCGTACATGCATTTTACTTGAGATAACAGTTTCATTCGAAAATGTTTTTTTTTTCATGAGGAACCACAGCGTATTTGTACAGCTTCTCTTAATTGCGTGACAGTGAATGACATTCATCATTAGAGTGTTTGTTTCGTTTATTTCACCAGTGTGTTTTTTTACTATCTGATCGTAATGCAAATAGTTT